GACAAAATATTTCCTGTATAATATCCGCCATATCATTAATATACTTGCTAACCATCTAAACGTCCAATTTTGAAAGGCCAGTATATGAAACAAAATCAGGATTTTCATATGTGTTAAGAGGTAATTGACACTTTATAACAAGGCTTATCCTATTAAATACGCTCACATTATAGTTAAATGTGCCAATACATTGTTGGTAAAATTATTGTCTTTCTAAATGATTCATTAAATTTGTATAACCCATCCTTTTTTTTTTTTGGATTGTTGGTTGTGATTCAGGAGAACTGATACTTGCTATCATTTGTCAGGTATAAAAAAGGTTTCTATATAATATTTATTTGAAACTTTAGCACTCATTAGAACTAATTTTTAAAAAAAGGACTTAGAATATTAATATACGTATTTTCAAAATAAGGTATAATTTGTAAATTTTAAAAGTTACTCAAGAAAAAAATTATTTGATTGTATGATTTCTTTATTTTAAGCTACAAGTTTTGATATCAAAAATCAGCCAATCTACTTTTTGTATATTCGTGTAAAAAATTGCAATTTAATTAACTCTCAGTAGTTGTGTCAACAATCAATTGAGATCAAATAATTGCTCTAACAATTAATTATTCAGTAGGTCTGCTTCAAACTGATCGTTACCAAAGAAGAATAAAATAATCTCGAATAAAAAAAGAAAAAAAATCCACACAAAAAATATATATTTAAAGAATTCTAGGTCAAAGGTCTGGTGATTTTAGTGTAATAATTAGATTGTTGAACTGCCATGTAAGAGGTCTAGGGTTCAAATCCTACTGTCGATGAATTTGAATACTTTCCTAGACCTTGTATCTAACTTACGGTAAACCCTGTCCGTTTCTGGAGGTTGTAACTCTGTAAATTACGTTGCACTAATATTAATCAGATATTGGAAGTGCGATGCAATGTTCGAGTTATATTGCATGAATAAATCTTGATAGGATCTACAGGCAGAGGACCTGCATAGTAGAAATCCTGAATTAAGTGAAGTAGTATGGATTTTGATGATCATACCAGTTAACACTTAATCCAGAAAAGAAGTCTGTGTACGAAGGTTGCAGATTGAACAGGTATGAGTAAGTTCACTGTATAACACAACTTGGTGCCTTGCATTAGCAGCAACACCAACCTGGCTTGGCAGCTAACTGGATTTGAAAAGATCTAACTCGTGAAATTTCTAAATATATGGAAGACTAATTTGGTGAAGAGCCACAGTAGAAACTGGATTTGTACGAACATCTATAAGGGTATATACTAGCTTAATTGGGATATAGCACAGCATAGTTGAAATATTCTGCAGGCTCCTCCTGATGAGGATTAAAGGATACCTTGAAATAGGACCCTCCTAATAAAGGAAACTGAGGCGCAAGGTCAGTCTGGGTGGTCCTCATTGAGGTAGCACAAAATTGTGCAGGTTTAAGAATAAAATTAGGTTAGCATTAGGGATGACAGGAATGCCAAAGAGTTTAAATAGAGTATCTACAAATGGATACTAAGTATGGCAATTGGTAGATAACCTCCGGGCAGAACCTTTAAATAGACAATAATTAAAGTTGTATGTGTGACCAATTGTACTCTCACTAACCAATGTAAACCTACAACCTACTTAATAAAAATTAACCGACATCAAGGCCTTGTTGGACCAATAAAAAAAAAAAAAAAAGAATTCTGGGTCATGTGCATCTCTTTTTAGGATTGTTAAACGGTAAATTTACCAGAGGTAAATTACCAGGTAATCTAATTGTAAATTATTATACCAAAAAATTAGGTAAATTACAGTAATTTTCAACCCTGAGGACTAGGGTTGGGAATTATACGGCATAATAAAAATTTTGGTACAATATAACCGATTATTTTGACTTTGGGCCCTTATATTACATTTTTGAGCCCTTATTTGAAATTCCTCTAATTTAAAACATGAATGAATGTATATTGTTCAAAGCTAACTATCAGCATGTTTCATGATCGAGGGCTTTTTTGAGCTGAGTTCAATTTTAAGTCCTCTTTTATATGTCTCACGCACTTTATCTAATTTACCAAGACCATGAAGAGCAGCTCCTTTTCTGTTATAACCCTAATTTCAACCAAATAAATTCGATAATTCAATTTTTTTTCCGATTATAAGGAATTATTTGAAAAGAATGATTTATTACCTTTGCTCAATCACTCTTCAACTCAACAGTCTTACTTGCGTCTTCCAAAGCTTTGTCATATTCTTTAGAAAAGCACATGACGCAGACCTGTTCGAGTAGAGCACGTGGTTTGAAGGATCTAAATCAATGGCTTTAGAGAATAATTCTATAGTTTTTCATATTCTTTCGCGGAAAAGGTTTTTATTGCCTAAATTCCTGTATTCTTCTAAAATTTCGTTTTTGCAAACTCACAAAAATGCAAAAATGCTTCGGCCATAACACAGCTTTTGAAATGGCGTGACCTTTGATATATATTGAGTGAATAAACGATTTTCATTTTTATTACAAGATTTTTTATACAGCATAAATCATGTGATTGATTGATTCCATCTATAAGACTTTAATCAAACGCCTCAAGTGTAGTCAATTTAGCATTTATACAAATTCCATTAACCGCATTGCTAATTTATTTTATTATTTTATATATTCGAAACCCTTCTTTACATTAACAACCAATTAATTTAAACAAGAAGAACTGCATTGATACAACCATCGTTTTCTGGATTATTGGTGACTTTGGAGTAAATAGTTTTGTTAATTAATTGCATTGCATAAAAATTATCATAAAAATTATTAATATGCTTACCTTGCGCGTATTTGCCCCACACAACTTTGCCCGAAGTTGTAACAAGTCCAAGTTCAGAAACATTGACCTAAAATTAAAGAAATCCGCGTCAAATATTTAA